TTTCTACCACATAAATATACTAAAATTATTTAATTAAAATATTAAAATAGTTTTAAAATAGTTACAATATATTTATAAAAACTATATTAATATTTTATTAAATAATATAATTTATAATTCTATAGAAATACATTAATATATTAACAAAATTTTATTTATATATTTTATAATAATAGTTTATATTTCTACCACATAAATATACTAAAATTATTTAATTAAAATATTAAAATAGTTTTAAAATAGTTACAATATATTTATATAAAATATATTAATATTTTATTTTGTAAAAAATCAATTAATATTTAAATTAAATATTAATTTATTAACAAAATATTAACTAGGGTAATATCTGATTTTTAGACCAGTGTATGGACCACCAAATTGGGCTTATGCATATAATTATATCTCATGAAAAAGTTAAATATACGATTATTGATTGATATTGAATCTTAACAATCCAATTACAATCTTAGTTTGCATATAATATTTCGGTCTGATTTTTTGATTACAGGATTGCACTATTACAATTTAAATAGAACGTGTGACAAATCTGTATCGTATTACATAAATAAAAAAAGTTTTTTTTTATCTTAATGCTTTTTTGACTTATAAATTTCACTGAATCTCACTGGACCTCACTGGAGCTTCCATCCAGTGGTAAAAAAATGCGACTGAAGGGTCTAGTGAAAACTTACCACTGGAACATAAATATCTTCAAATTTCATCCAGTTAGTTCCAGTAATCCTTCAGTTCCAATGATATTCACCGGACCGGTCTAGCAACAACACTGATGATATGGCTTAAGGAAAAAAAATCAATATGATAATACTCCTTTACAATGAAAATGGTTCTCCTCTATTAAAATTAGATGCATAACTTTTATACATTTTGATTAGTATGAAATACTTTCTGGAACATACTATATTACATTAGAAGCAACACACTATCGTGTTAGCCTTGTGTTAATATGCACACTGCCTCATGTAGTAGGCTTTAACAATTGCACCGAAATAGAAAAGGTTAGCAATTACACCGAAATGATAAACTAATTCATTACACTACCTTTTGGATATGTAGTTAATTAAAAAAATGATACTTTATTGGCTAAATTTATATCAACCATTTAATAACTATTTCTACATAGCTAAAAAAAATATTAGTCTATAATTAAATAGGATAATGATCTGGTGTTACTGTACTTCTTTTTAAATCGAAACCTACGAAGAACAATCTTGATTATTTTTGCATAGTTTAAATTGACTAATTAAAGAAGGATATTTGTTTTCAAAGTCCGTTAGCTTGTAACTTTTATAGTCATCATACATATTCTTATAAAATGTATAGAATAACGCATAAATTAGGCAACTACTGTAGCAATTGGATTACACCAACTAATCATAGAGATATACTTATATGAATGCCGCTTTACAAAAAAAAAAAGACTTAACAGTTACGATGCTATAGTTGAAGAGCATCGTGCATATAATTTGTATTTTTATTAGTACCAACTGTGCTGCTTACTTCGTAGCTCCGTAGATAATCGCCTTATTCACCGGCAATTAAATCATAGACAAGTTTATTTTTCACAAACATCCAATTCATAGACGAATTTAATTCATGAACACTTTATTTTATAAATAGCTCATTTCATAAACAATTTGTAATTATAGTCATCGTCCTTTTAATTATTGAAAAATCCTTTTGTGAAATAAATTATTAGGTGAAATAAGCTATTTATCGTATAAGCGCGAAATAACACTTGTAGCATTATTTTGAAAATCGTATTCTTCAAAAGGTCTCGAATTAGCGGTCATGTGTATCCTGTGCATCCTAATGTAACACATAATATAATGATGTACGGATCTGCCTACTTCACCGACAGCTCACTTAGCCGACACCACGCCTTGTAACTTATTAAAATATATATCTGCACTAATAAAACCCTGATTCTAACATTATCTAATTAGTGTTCAATCCATTAAGCGTTTATCCGGATAATTATCAGACATCCGTTATCCAAGTATCCGGATCTGAATTTCCGGTTACTATTGATGTCCAGATAATTATCTGTATGCCTGTCGGAGGTATCCGGATATCTGATCTGTTTATCCAATCTGAATTATCTAGATTGGAACTCTATACATAATGTCGGCTAAGTGAACTTTTGGTGAAATTATTGTCGATGAAGTGAGCAGCGCCGATGATGTACAGTCGACATTCCATATGCACTCTCTATATGTAGATTATTCTATAAATGAAGGTTGACTGTATTGGATTTAGAAAATCTACCCTTAATACGAAGACGTACAAGGGGTCTTCGAAATAAATTGCAGGTCAATTAATTAGCGTGCATGTAAGCGTTATTTCGTGAAATAATCTACTTATGAATTAAAACTTGTTGAGCTGATTGCCTATAAAATATATTTGTAATAATTGCAATATAATAAATGAAGCGGTGAAATGATATGAATCCGATCGAAAGGTCTTATATGGTCAGAGATTTGCCTGATTATTTTTCATAGTGGAATAAAGGTGCTATTGCTATCTGAAACTTGTTTTGTAAAAGCATAAAATCCTGTTGTGAGAATAGTGTTTCAACATCAACGCTAGATCCGTACGGCATACATTTTAAATACGTACCATTCTGATCCAGTGTTATATATAATTAAGATCATTTAAAGCATAGGTAATAACCTAAATAAGCTATATTTTTCATTTTATTTTTATTTTTTTTTAGCATTTTAATTATTCATATACTGTATCTCAATCTTTTTCACTAGCATAAATTCGTGAGTCCCGTAGCTAGAGATTAAAAAAAATGTGGATATTTATTTGATCTTGGCAGAGCTAAATGGGCCGTACGGATGTTAAAAAATTATTTATTGATTGTTAAATATAGTATAATCAGGTAATTTTCTATATTAAATCACAGAACCCAAGGATCCACAAAAAAAAAAAAAATTCATTAATCCAACTAATAGTTGAGACAAAGATAATGTTAAATTTACATTTTTTCATTCTTTTCCAAGATTATAAAATCATATTTTTTTTAACCATCTATAAGCCTTACAATAACGATTATCATAATACTCACCATGCTATCGTTGAAGTATTTCCTGAAATTTATATTATTGATTTTGATATTTGGAAGTTTAGTGGGTGCAGAATGTCCACAGCCAGACCTTTACGAAGGTGAATTCATGAAATTCATTTCTAGATCTTTAATGATCATTTACTCACATTTATACATTCTAAAAGAGGATCCGGTTGGGTTCTTAAGCGTAGTCATCACTGGACACGTCTCTATATTTCTCTCCTCAATGTCAGTTTTATATATGCTTAGCAGGATCTATTACAAATGGGTGTATAATCATAAGTCTTTGTCGATGTCTCTTAGAGTACCCTTCTATTTAGGCGTGTTAGGTAGCTTTTCAAAGTTTTCAAACTTAAAAAATTTCAGAATTATCTTTGATATAATTACTAAAACTTCTTGACCATCCAAAAAATTAATCCATTTTCGGGCTTCATTTATACGCATTAGATATAATTTTCATAACTTTTCAAGCTCTTGATTACGTAAGTTGTATTATCATATCGATAGCTGATCTATTTTTCACTTTCCTTATTTGGGATTAACAAAACAAAGTTCACGAAGTAGAAAAAAGATGAAAGAGAATAAAAATACAGAAAACGGGAATCTAAACTTGAAACAACTAATAAAAAAAGTTGGGAGAGCAATTTTACTCATAATATTTACTTAACCTCAATTTCAAACCCTAATTTTAATGACTTTACTTTCAAATAAGAAAATCGCCAAAGCGGTACGCACTTATTTAATTAATATTAGGGTTAGAGTTTAGATTTAGGGTAGGTTGATGTTATAAATATACTTGTTGGCAAAACTATTGGGATTGGGATTTGGGACGAATTTTATTGTGTTTGGGATTGGGAGTTGTGATAATTTTACTATGTTTGGGATTTAGGGGGGAGTTTGAGAATTTATAGTATGCCAATAAGTATAGTTATACAGTTGAACCTCCCTGATCCGATATGCATGGTGGATAGATTTAGTATCGGTTTTGGGAGGTTCAACTGTACGTAAAATTGTCTTTCCTGACATTTTTTACTACTAGGTTTAGACATCTATTTTTTGTATTACTTTAATATTTTTTAGAAATTCGTTAATTTGCTGATCCCCAAATATGAAAATTTGAAAAATGAATCGGCAACTTTGGTAATCCAAATAATGTGACGGATGACATAAATTGCTGGTTTAATTAGATATACGTTGCAATACATCATACAACATTTCATATTCAAACTTGTAAAGCCCTTACTGCTTTTATTATTGCATTTACGATCTTTTATCGACTAGTTATCGCTGGCATTTCCTTAATTACATATTTCAGGTAAATAAGTAAATTCATAAAGTGAAAACTACAAAGCTTTTTTGATACTAAATAATTTCATTACTTCAGAGTATGTAGGCAAAAAATTTGCGATACTGGTAAATGTGATTGGAAATTATTTTTACCTTCGGCACTCATCGCATCGTTGCTTGCAGTTAGTGCTTCACAAACTTACGGTTCTGGTGTATATTGGTACAAATTAATATATTATTTCATTTATTTATTACTCTTTGACCTATTCAGTATATTGACGATGATAGTCTCAATTTTCTAATAGGTGTGCTGCAGTACCAAATACTATTATGATTCCATTGTTTTCTATTGTTGTGACACTATTAGTACTCGCTATTTGCTTGTTTTGTTACGCACATACCATTCGAACAATACGTGTCATTAAAAATCAACAATCAATATTTGATGAAAGTCAATGTACTTCAAAATATTCATTAAACGATATTGAAGTAAAAGTCTCTATAAAGATTTTGGGTTACGTACTTGTGTATATGATACAATGGGTAAGTAATTATTAATTTAGGTTTTGTTTTAATAGTTTGGTTTCTATTAATATAAAAAAAAATTTATAGATTCCTGCCATATCATATGATATATATCAATACTATGGAAATGCCCGTCCTTGGGTTTATTGTATGGTTATGATTTCATTTAACATGGGAGTAAGTTATCTTCTCATTACTTGTTTAGTTTTACGCTCTATATTTATTTTATTTTTTTTAATTTGGTAGCCAATTGGGAATACAATATTTTTCATAATAAATGAAGGAAATTGTAGTTATAACAAAAGTAGCTCTCCTCCTACCTATGATAATGTTAGAAGTGGGAGTGCAAATAGTAATAACAATTCTTTTGCAATCTCTGCTGAGAATAAATCTCTTGAGGCTGATCATATTTACTAACATTTACTTCAATTATTGTATTCTAATTACAACTACAGTTGAACCTTCCAGAACCAATATGCATGGTGGGCAGGTTTTGTATCGGTAGATTTGAAAATATTATGGACTATTGGATTTATATAGCAAAAGCAGGTCTTGTAGAATGATTTTTAATAAGATTTAACCGGTTATCAGTTTTGCCAGGATTGGTTTTGGGAGTTCAACTGTACTTATAAATAATTTTATAATAAACCTTTTCAATTTTTCATATTCTTGAATATATTAATTAGGTAATGCAATTTATACGATAGCATTCTCAAATGTTTAAAATCTTTGAATATGTTTTATACATTGTCAATCATTATTTATATACAGTACACCCTCTCAAATCCGATACGCATGGTGGACAACTTTTGTATCGGTTTTGAGAGGTTATCGGATTTAAAAATTGATTTAAAATACCAATGGCCTGCTGTCACATGATCACAAATAAATATAATTGGCTGGATTATATTT